TATGCTTGTCGCATCCAACCACGGCCTACGATACTGTTGGGGCAAGATGCTGAGGTTGACATAGGGTATGCGCTTAAGATTTTTGATTAGCTTTTTTATTCTTTACAAGTATATCTTTTCAGTGCGGTGAAAGCTGAGTTGAGCAAACTTCAAAATAGAAATAGCGGAATTCAGGAAGAAATTAAAAGGGTAAGGTCTTTGAGGGTTTTTTAAATGTGTAAAATGCAATTTTGGTTAAAGGCTGCTGCCAAAGTGGGAGAAAAACAGATAGAGTTAGGCAAAGCTATGCAAGAGTATGGTGCGGTAGAGGCAGACTTAAATCGCCTTCGAACTCAATATCGATCGTTGGAACGAACGCTCGAACAACTTGAGTTGGATGATGATTTGTCAGTAGTGGACAACATGGTGCGTTTAATTTTAATATGTTACAAAGTGATTCGATTGTGATAATTTTGCGCCGCGAGTAGAATGAGTAGCGCTTTTCGTTGAACTCCTCCTTGCATGACAAACCTACCCCAGTATACTGCTGAGAGAACCATATAAGAGCAGATTATTAATGGGATTTCTTCTTATATACCGACTATTTTAGCGAAAAAGTCTGGATGAACTCAATAACCAAATAGCTGAGCTAGAAGAGGAATTTACGAAACTGAATGCGGTAAAGATCTTACAAAGAAAAGTTTTCTCATCCATTCCGCTTATTTTCTTCTTTTCAGAGCACCTCTCAAAAGGAAAATGAAATCCAAGAGGTAAATGAAGAGCTCAATGCATTGAGAGCAAATTTCGCTGAAGCAAAGAAGAGAATTGCTGACCTCGAGGTATGTTTCAAAATTGACTCCGTTGTTTTCCACGTATCCCTTTTTTTTCTTTTTGTCCTAGAATGAAGAGGAAGATATTATCGAAAAGGGTAGGAGTATTGATGCAGCGGTCGACTCAGATAAAAGGCGATTAGAGCGAATACGAGATGTGAGTTTAGATTTCTTGCTTACCATAACTAGTTTGGATCATGTTCATTTTCAGTCGCTGGCAAATATGGAATTATCGAGCAAGCAACTCCAAGAAGAAAAGGCGAATGCAGAGGAGAGGGTGGGTGCAAATTTTTAGCCTGATTATACCTGGTTTTAGATTTCTATCTTTTCTCTTTACTATATCGAAGCCGAACTAATTGCTTACAAACCTCTCAAAACATATACATCAATCCCTTACAGGCGAAACGATGCGAGGAGCTCCCCACACCTACGTCCATGACGAACCCTCCAGATATGGAACAGTTAGGTGACACTGCTGAACTGGATGAGCAGTATAAAACGCTGACGATGAAGATCGAATCTGCTGAGAAAGTGTGAGTTGCACTGATCCTTGTTTCTACTTCTCATCTTTTCAATTGTGATTTGTGAATTTCAGTATGGGAAACGCTGTCACAGCCGAGCAACTGCAGGAGTTCAAAGAAAACTATGAGCGAATGAAGAAACATTATATAGCTTTGAAGAGTTTGAATAAGGTTAAGATTAGATTTTCGAGAATTTTTGAAAACCTTGATGTAATCATTTATTATATTTAACAGAAACTTTCGGAATGTATACGAATACGTAACGAGAAGTTTCCAATTATGTGTCATGCAATAACAATGCGATTGAAAATGACCTTCCAAAGGCTTATGGCAACCAGGTGATATCTTGTCATTTTTGGTGCTGAGATCTTTACTCAGAACATTTTTTTTTTTGAAGATCAATTAGAACTCAAGTTCTTCTGTCTAGGTCTTATCATGGTAATCTTGTCGTAGATCGGCAAAAGGGAATGATAAACATTAGTGTTGC